TGCTGAAACAAATTGGTTGTGCTTTTTTATTTCCTCTCTCTCTTGCAGTAATTGCAAATCTTGCTTTGTAGTGTGTGAACCAAAGCTGCAGTGAACCCACATGACCAACGCTGCTTGGATTTTGTTTTTTTTTTCTTCTTCCTCATCTGCTTCTGTTTCTTCAACATCGAGCTGATTTTCATTGTTCTAATTGTCCCTTATGAATCGCATTGGGTAAAACTTTCTAGCTCGGGGGGGCAGCGTGCCAGCCACAGCTGTGTGTGGGTGTGGGTGGGGAGAGAGATTAGCTGTTTGTTTGTGAGATGAGCTTTGACTTGTTGTTGAAGTTGAGGCAGCTCCAGAGCTTTAAGTGTAAAAAGAATCAATGCATCAAACATACTGACAGGAGAGAAACTGATGCCGAGTCATCCACCTGAAACACACACCGTCCACAAACTTTTGGTCACGCTGCCTCTCTGCTCATGTATGTTGTTGCAGAGCTTTTTTTTTTAATTCTTCAAGAGCCGTCTGTAATCAACATTTACGCTCCAGATCGGTGTTTGTTTATGAGAGAGGTTGTCGAGGAGGGAGAGAAGGAGCGCCGGTGCCGTTTCCAATTAAACCCAAACAGGCAACGAGACGGAGGAGAGACGGAAAGAGGAGGAAGTGGCTCTCGGTTAATTTTAAGAGAAGCATCATTATTATCAATCATTAGGATTCTGCCACGCTCTGTTTGCCCTGTGATTATCGTTAGCGTTACCGTTTGTCTGCGTGTTGGAAAGCGGCGCTCGCTGTTGTTTATGAGGATAGATGCCCTCGTTTAATTTATTCGATTAATAGAAAAATATGTGCCGTTGAAATGATTTTTTTTTTTAAAGCACTTGCGCACATCTGCATGAATTAAATATGGAACATTTTGCTTATGAGTGTAAGTTATTCAGTGCTCATTATACGATGAAGTCGGATTCTTTTTAAGGTGTGTGGCTCGATTTAGCATTCAATTATTTAGACTTTTGTTGTTGTGGAGATATTAAAGATTTGTGTGTAGTTATACAAAAAAGAACATATTTACTTATTTTCTGCGCTGGACTCTTGAAGACCTCAGTGACAGAACAGCTTTTGTTGCCCCTCGCTTTCACCTGATATCTATAGTTTATAAGCAGAGGGCTCTTTGTAATTTCTGTTAGCAGTGCCCCATTAAATTACCCTAAGACCATAACAAGGATGAAACCGCACGGCCGCCAGCGTATTCCATCTACCGCGCATGACTGCTCCCAGCCGCAGCAATTAAAGAGCATTACAAACACAGAGCGAGCAGGAGAGGTCATTTCAATATCTGCTTGAGCACAATTTATACATTCTGGATGTGATCGCATTCGTCTGCTTATGGGCCATTAAATCTCGGCGTCTCTCAACGATCTCTCGTGTTTGTCTCCTGCATCTCCAAAGGATTTCAAATTACACAGTTATTCCCTCGGGGCGCCGCATCCCCCCGGCAGGCCACCTGCACGGATAATAGCAAGAGGATGCACTTTCACAATTATGGATATGGCAGCGATATGATGGATACAAGCTGCAGCTGAGCATCATCAACAACAGCGAAGTACCCATAATTAGAGGAAAGAGCCTCCTCAAGGCTGCTGTGGCGTTTATACGACAGTTACCAAAGGCACGGGGTTTAAGGCTCTCCTTGGCTCCCTGGTTATCCCAGCAGTTGTCATAGCAACCAATAAAATATACCGACTGCTGCTTTCCTAACCAATACATTATAGAAATCTGTTTTCTGGAAATAATAAACATCCGCTCACTTAATTGAATCTAAGCTATAGTTTGCTTTTATAGACCCTCTGATGTTCAGTAGGAGGGGCGAGTCATCCTGAAAGAAAACCAAATCTGAAGTTTTTTGGTTTGACTTTTACTTTGAGAACTTTTATCCACTCTGGGAAGAATAACAGTTTAGAATAAAACCCAAGAGACACCCACGAGAACTCAAGAGGGACCCAAAAAACAGTTTGGACAGTCGTCAGTGCCAAGCGAGCTTCGATTTCACTCCACTCAGAGAAAAACAGGGTCAGCGGCAGTCTTTATTTCTGTCAGGTTGGAAAACAGTAACACTGAGGACCACCGGGACTCCTCCAACTAACGCTAGAAAATACAAAACTAGAGAGCAGTCTGTTTTTCCTTCCAGTTATTCATCCGAGGGACTAATCAGTCATAAGCCAGACGTGCTGCTGTAACGCAGCGCAGCTCAAACTGAGGCTCAGGACTCCCTGCGGACGCATCCAGGGATGCTGTAGTCACAAAATAATTTCTATTAAGTTAACAGGATATAATACAGCGCTTTTCTCTGCAGGCTAGTGTACTTTTTGTGTTGTACCTGGCATTTCATTTAGCAAGCCTGGCGCTTTTTTTCAAGCCCCGAAGTCTAACTGTATCCTCTGCAAACTAATGAGAGCAGAATTAAGTGCAACCTCAGCTGACCTCGGCTAAACTCCCCGCTAACCTCGCTATTATTCAAGCAAAGTACAACATGCAGTTTAATAGGGTACACACTCTGTGAGGTGACCAGCGCAAGTGACTCAGAGAAGCTCATTCCAGTTCACTAAACAGCTTTCAATATGTTGGGCTTTGTGCATGACGGCACTGGAGATGAACCCACACTCGGATGGTTCTTAATTCACTCTGCCTCCTTCCTGGACGCATTAGAGGAGCTGTTCCGAGATGGCCATTTATTTAAATATAAACTAATTTAATACATTAAATTTAGCTTCTTTAAATGTCTTTACGGAAACACGTGTATTTCTGGATCACTGTACTTTACACGACTCCAGCTGCTGCACCTACGATGTCTCACAGGCCACTGCAGCTCCTGGAGGGCTTCGGCTCCACATGGCGCCGAGCAGGTTGGTGCTCATTTTCATTACGTGTGCTTAAAGGTTCACTTCAAGATGGGCTCAGCCAGAATAATTTGCCTTGGCTAACCTTTGCTGAAAACTTCAGTTTACTGCCATGTCGATCCAGAGGAAGAAGAAGAATATTTTGGGGTAAAATGGATTTTATTACTATATTAACATGTAAACTCTGGTGTCTAGTTTCCAGTCAGACACATCAGAGACTTGATGTTTCTGCAAAGAAGCTACTAATTCTAAAACACGGACACGCATCTTCAACCCAGCAGTACCTCAGATCTAAACAAACACTCCAGTTTTAAGGTGGCATCCAAGACATAGCGTCAGAAATTAATCCAAAATCTAAATCTCCCATTGGGTTCCTGACTTACGGGTTGAATAACGAACAGAAAAGTGTCTCTGCAGAAGATTACGGCGCCACAGTGAAGCTAAGCTTTGACCTTTTGGATATAAAACATCATCGCTTCATTACTGATTTCTACTTGACATCTTTGAAAAGTTCTGCGAGTGAATTCATGAGCGATGCGAGGTCACAGTGACCCTTTGACTACCAAATTCTAACCGCTTCATCTTTGACTTCAGGTGAACATTTGTGCCAAATGTGAATAAATTCCCACCAGGCATTCTTCAGTAATCACTAGAATGAGACGTACAAATGCACAAACCAGAACACCTCCAGCCACAGCTGTCGCCGACGTGGAGGCATACAAAAAACATTTTCTCAGTCAGCTTATTGTTCAGAGGGAAGGTTTCGTACACGAACACAAAAAGTTCAGCCGTTGTTGGAGCAGCTTTGGTTCTTTTACGTGATAAATGTCTCTTTCTGTTCTGGTTTTAAGTTCTTTTGTGGTGGAACCAGTCAGGATTTGAGCAAAAAAAACAGTTTGGAGGGTATTTTGCTTAATCACTAGTAAATCAAATTTGGTCACAACACACTTAAAAGCAGCTGTCACGAAGCAAATTAGCTCAGTTTTAGAGTTTTAAACTAAAAAATAACTCCAACTAAAAAACTAGAGTGAAGTTCAGCTTTGATTTTTAAGATTTTACAGAAATACTTTGCACAAAAGGTAACCTCATAGACTGTGTGTAACAGATGGATGTACAACGTGACCTAAACCAGCCAGCAGGGGGCGACTCCTCTGACTGTATAGAGAATATTACCATAGTTCTCATTTGATTTGCTCCGCCAGTGAACATTTTCTTAATGAGCTGATGGTCTCAATTGCTTGTTTTAAGTCTCCTTTAAGTTAGCATGGTGTTGATTTTGTGAATTTTGATTTCATTTAGAGTGAAACAGATGATAAAGCGGGTCACCTTGTTCTTGAGTGTAGGTGAGTGTAGTATTCTTAAATCAGATCCACTCCTTGCTCGTCACATCTGGTTTCAAAAATGGCAAACTCCACACTCAACACTTCTAAACGTCCACAGATAAATGGGTGACATCACGGTGGCTGTTACGCCGTCTACAGGTAGCGCTTAGCTGTGCTGCTTTAAAAGTAAAATCCACACTCAGCTCTGTGCATAAAAAACTACTGAGCAGCTTCAGCAATCGTGTCAATTTACAACTTTCGTTTTTCTCCCACTATTCAAAGCTAATTAATCTGAAGAAATTATTAAATGTAATTAACCGCAGCGATACACAAGCAAACATGATAGCATCTCCAGCGTTTGTCTATCCCTCAATCAGCTGAAAGAGGAGAAAAGCCGACACTCAAGACGCATTATACGCTGTCATTATTTTTTGTGTTTTGGTCTCAGGGACAGTAGAAGAGCTGTCCCTGAGCCTGCCGGTGTTTTGCATGTTGCTACGCGCCGCTATTGTTCGGCACAAGTACTAATTTATTCACTGAAGGGTTTGTGTCTCCGTCTATTCATTTTAATGACTGACAGCCAAGAAAGGCCGCTAATGCCTGCCGGTGAGCGCTCGGATTATTTGATAGAGCCAAGGCCCACAGCTGCCAATAACAGTATTTGTTTCACTTTCCTGGTCAAAAAATGAAAAAAATAAAATAAAACCTGGTTGGTTTTGGAAGCTTAATGACTTTCCCGAGGTGCAGTCATACAGAAAATGCCACTGATGAGCTCGTCGCTGCCTCTTTGCGTACGTCTTACCTTGCGGCCGTCGCTCGCGTGGCAGTTGACGTTGAGCGGCGTAAGCAAGGCCATTAGCTTCTCCTCGTTTCCACTCCTGCAAAATGTGCACAAACACACACACACACACAAACACACACACGTTAGATAGAAAACAAGCAGAGAGGATTAGCACTGTTCCTCAGCAGGAGAGTGGGGGAGAGAAAATGAGGAAAAATGAGATAAGAAGCTTCAGACTGAAGGGAAAAGCCTGAGAAATTTCATCTGCAGAAACACACCGACATGAAATATTTGCAGGATGGATTGACGGTTGTGTGTGTGTGTGTGTGTGTGTGTGTGTGTGTTTTCCTGTAAACCTGACTGCACCTAACTAAGGAAGAGCAGGCCCTGTGGCCGAGCTACAGTGGAGTTAATATTTTGTCCGTGTTGTTTATCGGTGTTTCCTGGTTCTTAGGCTCGCTGCCCTGGCATTGGACGGCCACCAGGAAGTGTTGCCAAGGCAGCGGCCAATCCAACCACCATCCCCATGACAGCCGTGAGGAAGAAGCTGTCAGCTGGTTGAATAAAGGATTATTGTCTTATTCTTCTCTTCTCGCTCTCGTCTCTTTACTTTTGTTGTTCGGTTGGGCCTCTCTTTCCTTCTCTTTGTTTCTGTAATTTTCACTCCCCAGCCAAAAGGAGAAAAAAAAAAAGACATTCACATCCTCCCTTTCTCCCCGTTTGAACTCTACGTCTCTCCTCTCACTCTTGTCACTGTTTTTCTCCTCCATTCAAACCTCCATTACCTCCCATCTCCTGCACTCCAACCCTTTCTATTTCCTATCGCTGTCATTTACCAAACTCTCCGTCCTCTCGTATCTTCCCGTTCTTTCCCTCATTCCTTTGCTTTCTTTTGCTCGGCTGTTACCAAACACAAGAGAGACTTCATTCTGATGCAAACCACATCTTCAGGATTTAACAGGGACGGAGGACACGACGCTCTCACTGTGTGTTTGTAAGTCTGCTGCACAGATGTAACGGTATCACCATATCAGACTCGTCAGAAGACAAAAGGATTAAAAAATTACAAGGACTGGTTTGGCTTTTGGGAATGTTATTATGACTACTGGCTTTATTGCATGGCTGTTCAGTATAAAGTTAAACTAGTCCTTTAAGCTGGTCCAACAGCAGCAGGTCCAGGATGAGTCTCTTGGTGATACCACCGTGTTCAAAAAACCAGAATGCAGTCAACACCGAGCGCTGTCTGACTGGCAGAACTGGTTCGTTTCTCGTTTGCCAGCAAGATTTCAGGCATTTCAACCAAGAAGCAGGTTGATTCTGGACATAACATATTGTTTCCCAGTGAGAGCCGCTGTCAGTATGGACACGGGCTGGATTCCAGCAGAAGTTTGAGGGCTTGGTTCGAGGAAACAAACTGTACATGGAGTTCGCTGAAGAGTTTGAGGGAACTGGACCTGCTGGGTTTGTGTGTTGAGCTGGAGCAGCAGGCAAAACGAATACAAGTTTCTAAGTTTGTCAATCAGTATCTTGGTTCACTTTTTTAAACCAGAGTCGACTGACATCACATGGGGCAACCTGCCAATTACAGGGAAGCTCCTTAAGCAGCTATTTTACTCTAAATGGGATAATTTACAGAATGGATGCCGTGCTGTAGTTAAAACGTCTTAAAAAGCAAGTTATTGAGGCCATAAACTCATCAGGAAACTGTTCTATGAGTAGTAGATAAAAGAAGACGTAAGGTCATCTTCTCATAGACTTCTATAGGAAATGACTTCACTGTGTGACCTGAAGTGTCGCCCCCTGCTGGCCGCTAGAAACACTGCAGGTTAAAAGCTCCTCCACGTTTGCTTCACTAGACCCTGAGCCTACATCTGTCCTACACGTAGAGTCATTGGTGGATTCGGTTGAAGGCGCTTGACTCTGTGGGTGATCACAGAACCGCCGCGCAAATGAGTGAAAAGCCAAAACCTGAAGTGTTTCAAATTAACAATTGCATTCATTAATAATGTACCTGCCACCAATTCACACCTTGAGTTACGCCTCCCCCAGACAGTTTCACCAACATTCACACCTTAAGTAATGTCGGCCTCGTGTAATTAACAAGCCTTGAGTCATTCGTCTGGGGTGAGAACAAATACCTGGGACTCCTCGCCGGTGGAGCAAAATAGTCCCTCAACTGAAGCACTTCTACCTGTTTCTTAGGTAATCTTTTGGAAATCACTTAAACTTCAAGCTATGAAAGATAAACAGATCTGTAGCTGACATTTGGACTGGTTAAAGCTGCTCTGATCGATATTAAATGCATCAAAATCATGTGATGTCAAAGAGGTTGCTCACATCAATGCCCCCAAACAAAATTTTAACTCCACTTCGTAGTTGGCTTGTGACTGTTTTAGCACATTTTTGCTCACTGTTTCCTTATACAGCCTACATCAGCGCTGTTTTGTTTCACTCTCTGCTCTAATCAGTGTCAGTTTCCGCCACAGGTGAGAGTTGTTTCCTCTGAAAAGGCCTGATAAATCCACTGCTCTGCACCAAACGGCACATAAAGCGATTTTAGCGACTAGCTGCGGATCACAGCGGAGCGTTTAGCAGCTAAACAGACAGATATTTGCCTCCGGAGAGCAAACACAGCTACTAAGATTAAAATATGTATTCTAAAACGTCCATCATTACGAGGTGATATGAGTTCACAGAATGCTGTGAACAAAAAAATTCATAAATCAATGAGTGTGGGTTAGATAACTACATAAACAGGTCGTGGGAAAAAATGTGGTTTCACTTTTGTATTTACAGGAAGAGACTCCGGTTAAAGACAGGCTGCGCGTTTAAAGCATCTTTTAAACACCGTCTGCTGATCTGGAAAATACCATTTGCTGTCTGACGGCCTTAAGGGGACAGATCTGCTTTGCTGGGCAGGCATCCCCCCATTATTTGCTGTCATATACGTTAACAACTACATCCTTTCTGTCAGCGCGCCGAGACATTACTCTGTGCACACTCGCTGTAGTTGTTATTCTTCTGGATGGGGAGCAGAGGAACACCAACATCCCATAAGCATGTGTGGGAGTTTATTTGACTGCACACCACACTAAAAAAAAAAACCTCCCTCTGAAAAATGACGAGCGATAATCCAGTCAGTGGCTCAGCTGCGAGAGAGCCACACTGGGTTCACAGTTCACACTTAAACAGCCTACTGACCCCGTAATACACCGGGGTGCTGCGATGCTAGGCCAGCTGCTTCCTTATGAGCATGTGTGTGTGTGGGGGGGTGGAAGAGAGAGAGGGAGGGAGAGGGGATGGAGGGGGGAGCTGTTGAGGCATCGAGCGCTCACCCACCCACACACAATCCCAAACCAAAGCATGCAGGAGACGGAAACACACACAGAAACACACACACACACTGCCCACATGCACTGCCTGCAACCATAACATGCCTCCGAAAACACACAAGTGTCACTGGCCCACGAGCACCGAGCTCTCCGGATCTGAAAACACCTGTGCAGTGTGGGAGCTGGAGTGTGTTGTTGTGCACAGAGGAAGAAGGGGAGAAAGTGATAACACGGGGAGAGAGCACAGGGGGGGAAGGAAAGAAATCAACAAAACCAAGAAAACTGATTCAGAACGGAGGGAAAACGAGGAGATAAGGAAGAAGGGGAAGAAGTGAGAGGGAAAAACAAGGGAGGTGGGGTGGAAGAGATGAAAGGAGATGTGAGAAGAAAAGAAACCAGAGGGTAGAGAAGAAAGTAGATGAGAGAGGGAGGCGAGGAACCGAACAGGTGAAGGCAGGGACGAGGGGGAAAACATGAAAGGAAAGTAGCTCAACGAGGCGAGAGGAGGAGAGGAGGAAGAAGCAAAAAATGAAAACAAAGAGCATGCAGGAGTCTGGTACTCACCTCGCCGCCTCCAGCAGCTCATCCTTCTTGTATTCACCTAGATGGTTACAGAAGATCATGGTGTCAGACAGCTGGCCGCTAACGCACATCAACCACACACAGACGCACATGATCGAGCAGAGAGAACAACCACGTCAAAGATCCACACACTGGGAGAAGAAGACACCATCTTTCTTTCTATCTCTCCCTCTCCCTCCTCCTCCTCCTCCTCCTCCTCCTCTTCTATCTCCCTGCCATTCACACTCAGTGCGCACCCCTCTGGCTCCGGTTGCCGTGACGATGCGTTGCCGGCAGCGACCACAGCACGTTCATTGTTTGGGCGACGAGCGGCGGACTGACACGCGCTCTGCCTCTATCCGTCCGTGCGTCCGTCCATCCCTCTCCCCCGTGCAGCGTTTGTCTCCGGTGTCTCGGCCGCCGCTGCTGCTGCTCATGTTGCAAACCATCGTCCCTCCATCATCATCATCATCATCATCCTCTCTGTCCCTCTGTCTCTCTTCTTTTTTTCTGTCTCTCTGCTTTTTTTTTTTTCCTTCCTCCTCCTCCTCTGGGCTCAGGAGGCGCAGTTACCATTAAAAAAAAACACAACAGAAATAAACAAACCCCTCCCCCTACCTCCGTCGCCCTCTCTCCGGCTCTCTCTCCATCGCTTAGCCCTGCCTCCCCGCTACTACAGTCACAACACACACACACACACACACACACACACCTCACCATATGTGTCTGTTCTGCCTGCCTGGGTGGGGGGAACATGAAATCTGTAATAATCCTGCATTCATACGTCTGTTCGCCATCAAGCAGAGGCTGCACCGCTTAATCGTCACTTAACGTCAGCACGGGTTGGAAAATGTAAACCTATGGAAGGTTTTAAAGCTTGTTTTTAAATTTTATATAAACATGTTTAATTCCTTGTAGTATTTCCTCAAGTTTCTTATGATAACCAGCCCTGCTTTAGTGTGTTAATTGCTAGTTATGTTGGTCCTGGTGCTTTCAGATGGTCCTGAAAATTCATATTTTGGATCAGTTAATGCTATTTTATAGGGTTTTTAATTGAAAAAAAAGCATATATGGCCAGTTGTATATATTTTTCCTTCTTAAATGTTTGTTTTTTTATTTAAGCTGAATTATTATACTCTCTGGTGTGTTCAGTTGGTCCTGAAAGTTCATATTTTAGATCAGTTAATGCTTTTATTTTTTATTTTATAGGATTTTTAATTGAAAAAAAGCAAAAATGGTGTATATTTTTTTTTCCCTTCTTAAATGTTATAAATTTTTTAAATCTAAGCTGATTTATTATACTCTTATTTTGGGTATTTTATGGTGGGATGTTATCAGAATCAAAAAGCATTATTTTTATTGTACATTACAATAAGATTTGCCATACAACACCTAAAAAAAATAAAAATAAATCACTGTTTATATACAGAAACTCTTTCACACACCAAGTTTTCCATGTCATGTCGATAAACTATGAAATTCACCACGTTTGTTGTCCATTTTAAAACGAAATGCATCATAAATAACTCACGAGCAACCTCCTAACTGTGATTTACAACTAAATGTAAAACTGAAAACAGTGTATTTTTTTGTGTTTCAGTCTCTTAGAGAGGAACTATTCAAAATTTTTGCAAAACAGCACTTTCCCCCCTCCTCCTTTCCTCACTCCCATAAAGCCGTTGGATTCTCATGAGACAGATTGAAGGAACCGACAGAACTGAAACAGGAGCAGCAGAGATATCCCGTTAGTCCCCAGCATCAGTCACGCTCCAAAAACACCGGATTGAACGATTCCCACGGCGCAAACCAACAGCATCTTTAATTCAAGATGCTCCACACCACCTAAACGGCCACTTCTTTCCAACTCCTCACCTTCAGCTTCTAACAAAGACTTTCTTTTGCCCGTCATCATTAGTGTGGGTTATTTTTAAACGTTGGGAATCTCCCTTTAAAGCCCTAAAGTTTTCACACAGTTTTCCTCGTGATGTGTAAACCGGAGTTCAAACATCTGAAGGTAGAGTCAGGAGTTCAAGACAAAGAGTGGAAAGCGAACACGACTTCTACTTACTGCACACGTTAAAGTACAGCCGTGACTCAATAATCCGACACTAAAAGCAAAACCTTCTTCCATGTCGGATAGCAAGGCTGTCAGATTGTCAAGACAGAGGTCCAGATACAAGGAGGGCTTGATGCTGGAAGGTTCATTAGTTGTTAATATTCATTGTTTATAGTTGTTATAATAACTAGTAGGGCTGGTCCCAGTAGAACTTTCTGCTCTCTGGATATTCAGGTCCAATTAATGATGAATATCAGAACATTGGGTGCGGTCGGGGGACACTTCCACCCCGGGGCAGCGCTCTGACGGGGTGGAAGTGTCCAGAACACACAGGCAGTACTTGGCTGCTGATGCTAGTTTAGTTAGCGCTCACACTTCTGTTTCCACCATCGGTGGCGGCGGGGGAGTGGCAGATACGCTCCACCGTTACCATCCATGTTTACTTCCATAAACACTGAGCACGCTCGCTGCGTGTGACGTCGTCGTGTCCTCTTGTGCGCATGCGGGACACTTTTGGGTCGTATGAAGTTCACACAGCAGATCACATACAAGTCGCATTGAACTGGAAACGTGAAGGAAGTCACAAAGAAATCCTCATTGAGCATCAAGTCCTGCAGTGTGAACGTAGCCAATCTGTGGGATTGTTCAGTCAGATAATACGCCGTCATCCTGATTGGTGACATTAAATGTCATGTCGGAGTCACAATCCAAGGCTGTCGCTATGTTAAGGCTGTTTTTAATGGGTTCCTTTAGTTTTTCCTAAGTTTGGTTGTGGGTTTAATGCAGAGCCACTTGCTCCGTCCTGCAAGTGGCTTTAATGTTATGTAAATTCTTAAAATCAGATTGTAAAATATTAAACATGTACCATAAAAAAAGCAAATTCTCAGCTGTTAATTAAGCTGCTACTTCATGGTCAGACTAACCTCAGGCTGGAAGTTGCATGTAGTTAGTTTCACAGAAATGTAAGGCCTTTTTTTTTTTTTTCTTTTCCCACTGGCCCTGAATGAGCTTGTTGCTGCTGCTTCGTGTTAAAAGCCCATTTGTGAGTTTGACTGTGAAGCAGCTTCAGCGGCTGGATAGCAGGACCTCGTTAACGGCGTTGTTCCTCCGATGAGAAGTGGCGCTCAAGACAGAATACGACTGTGCTCGATGCCATTTGGACGGTTTTAAATATTGCAGGACGAAGAGAGCGCCACGGCGTGCGGTGTGAACGATAACTTTTGCATTATTAGGTCCGGCCTGGTGAGACTCGCGTTTGTGACTCCTGCTAGAAAAATGACTGGAGGGCTTATTCAAACATGAGGCCGATATGCCGGCATATTTAAGCGACCGAGTTCATCTCTGAGAGCGGCTGGAGGGAGTTAGAGAGAGAGAGGAGGGTGAGGTATAAAATTGAAATAGGAAATAAAAAATCAAAGGAAGATGGAGAGGTAAGTGTGATTTAGATAAATGGAAAGAGGACGAGGAGGACGGGCTGTGTGTACACGGAGCAGACGGCGGGGTGGGGAAGGGCGAGGAGCAAAGAAGAAAGGTTACGGAGAAGGGAAGGAAAAAAGGGGGAGGAGGGAGGAACAAAGGATTTGCAGATGAAAGAGAGAAGGGATGATTAGGGATCTGGAAACTGACATGCATGGATTTGACACAGTATAATTGGTGTTAGGGAGGCTAAGGCGGAACAGCGAGAGGAAAAAGAAAAGTGTGGCGGGTTGGGGGGGAGGAGAGGGAGACAGGCAGAGCAATAGGAAAATATGAATACAAAGGGAAAATGTACAGAGAGAGATCAAGAAACTAAATTAGAGGCTGTAGTTCTGAGCCAATTTACGTGCTGCGGCAGATTCATTTGTCCATTACACACCTGACAGTCACAGTCCTCACAGCCAGGTGCATTATGTCAGCGTTAATATTCACCTGATCCTTATTATCAGTGCTGTTAGTGATGCTCGCTGGGCATCACACGTTAGGTTTTTTTCATATTCAGCGGACTGCATCTCCCACAGACTTATCACCACATATGCATAAAGTGGACCCTATAGAGAAAACGGGAATGAGGTTTCTATTTATATTTAAAATTTACTGGTTTAAAAATCAAGCTTTTAGGCCTTTTTGCTCGAAGCTTTTCGATATGAAGAGTGGGCGGGGTCACCGGTCACATTAACCTCCCCGTGTGCCGGAAAATATTTTAAACAGATTCCACTCCCACGAGCGTCACCCTTCAGATACGCGCTTTACATCTGAAAAAAAAAACCCAACAAATTGAGTTACGACTGGGCGACAGGAACGCAGTGAGTCAGCCTCCTAATTCAATGTAACTGACACCTGAGTGCAGAAATAGTTAGTATTATTGCGTTTAGCCGGGTCTGCTGTCACACGGCGAGGAATCTGAGCCGTAAATCAGATGCAGACGTGAGGCGGGCTTTCAGACGCTGTTTGCTCGAAACCAACCGTGACTCAGCAGTTTTAATTAGTCCGACACAAACATCAAGCCAGGACGCGAGCGGGTTAGCTTAGTGGTTAATCTGTGATTAATGCTGCCACGTTCGCCGGACAAAACCTCCCACATTTCAGGCACTGATTCAAAAGATAATTGGCACCTTCCCCTTTAATATCATATAATTTTAATTTTTAATTTTAGCTTTGCAACGACGGTTACGGTGCACGCTGGCAAGGACGCCGACGGTCCAGAAGTCTGAGACCACATCAGGAAGCTGACGTGTTTTCATGCACCGGCGGAAATATTCCAAAAGTTTGAGGATTTAGAATCAGTTCAAATGTGCGGCGACCATTTTATAACTTCTTTGTACAAAAGGTCTGATTTCCTGCAGCCTTTAAAGCAGTATCTGTAAAATGAAATTTAATATGTACGATTGCTTTTTTTACTATTTCGAGGTCAGCAATCAAGTTGAAGCGAAGGTGATGTTTCCTCTAATCGCGTCCTTCCTTCACACCAGCATTCAGACGACACTCGGGGGAATCCAACAAACCAA